ATGGACATATTTGACCGTGATTTAATTGTAATACACGTTTCAAAATGATGCCGAAGTAACAACATACTGATACCGGTTAGTAAAAACCATGAATTAATGCTTTGTCAAGTCTGCAGACAGACGGCAGGCGAAAAACCTTTTAAAATGCTTGTTTTCTAAATGGAGATTGGCTAAGCTAACGCAGTATATGCTCCGACCGTCCACACTCACAACAACGGCCTATACAGACATAAATAAAGCAGCGTCCGTATTCACCATGACACAGGCAGTCTGTGGTTTGTACTTGTTTAACTTTTGTCTAGTTTCTGAACATATATGAGGAGCTGTGAGCTCTGAGTGCTAACAGCTAACGGCTGTGTTGTTTTTCTGGGGTCCTCTGAAGATCACGTCACGGCTCCGCCTACACTGCGTTACTATAGATACTACCCCAGTTCCTAAACTGTAATGGAAATGCGCCATAAAGTGAGCCAGTCCTAACGAGGCCCAGCCATACCGATTGGGGCCGAGCGAGGCCGTGTAGTGGAAACGCGCCATTAGAGATGAACTTCATTTGTTCAGTAATAAGCCACATATTATGTAGATTATGTGTTATTAGAGCGCCCACGGTGAAAGTACAAAATAGTTGTTGGCTCTTAACATGCAGGGAGGAAAAACGAAAGAAAAGGTGGAAACTACAAGACAGAAGGTGGCGACAGGTCAGAGAAACACTCTTCCTCCCTCCTGAGGCTAATGCTGTTGAGCCGATGAAAGGAGAAGAGGGTGTGTAGCACGGGCGACCTTTTTATAATGAAGCTCAAAGTCTTAAATTCAGACTTCCAAAGCTTTAAAGTGGTAGGTTTTTTTGGATAATAAACTTTAGAGTAAATATGGGCTGCTATTTACACAGAAAATGTTAAGTTGCTGCATGTCGTCTGAAACTTTTAGCAGTTTTTTTGAACAGTGTTTTAAGTACTAGTTGACACACCCAAACTGACTCTTCTTTCCTCTTCTCTGAAAGCCATTGTGAATGAGTCATTCCGTACCCCTCTTGACTGCCTAAAGATGGGCTTTGGATGGTGTCTGTGTTTGTGTCGGCTTGACATATTGTTGACCCTGAGTGGGATCTTTTGTTGTGATGTAACTTGTGTGAAACCACCCATCCCCCTCTTCCTCTCTGCGCTGCCCCACCAAACTTTCTGAGGGGAAAGACTTACCACATGAGCGGAAAGTGCAGTCACTTTTTTTTTGGACATTTTTTATTTGAGTATGACACAGTTCTAATTGCAGTTTCAAATCCATCATTTTTTTTTATGAACACATCTACCTCCTGTTATTTGTAATTGGGTGGAAAATGTGCAACAACAGGAAATGCTTATTTTTTAACAGAGCCCAACCCCCTTTTTCGGTTTATCACTGTGTACCTGACACATCATTCTGACCTTCTACAATATAAGCGTAACTACTGAAGATTAGTTAACTCTCACACAAGCCACAGAAGTGCATGGAACATTATTGTTTCCGTAAGAGTGCAAAATGCCTGTGATGTTTCAATAAGAAAGAAAAGAGCTAGAGAGACAACGTAAAACTCTGGCTCATTTCTAACTACCACACTAACGGACTAGTGTCAATGACGGATTCTCAGAAGGTTTACAGAAATTGTTGGTACACAGTCTGCGAGGTGTGGTGGGGAGAAGGTCTGGCAAGTTATCAGGAGAATCATACTGGACCTTTAAGGTGCCCCGTGGAGCTCACTGATCAAAAAGTAGTGATAACATCTCAAGATACGAACAATAGGTGCTCAAAGGCAGGGAACAGGAATACTGCAAGCCACTTAACTTTTATACAAAATACTGTTCATACATATTTGCAAATGTGTTAGGAGACAGGAAGGGCACTTGAATTATCTCTTAAATACACTCAATGCTATGTTTTGGTGAGTAACACTAAATGTAAACATTAACCTTTTTTTGCTTATAAGGAAACTCTACAAAGCCAGTTTTGAAGAAGGGTTCTTGTAGTGACGCTTCACAGAAAAAACCACAACTGATGCTCCACTTCCTCCAAACAATTAGAGAACCGAGACTTGGTAGAATTTTGAGTGAAGATTCACTGAAGTGAACAATTGATGATATCGTAACTAGTGTTTTAAAATGTACATTGGGACTTTGAGTCTGCACTTTTTTATAATCTATGAATCCATATAAACATCGGAGCTGAGCACAGCCTGCTACCGGTAACTACAAACTTTATACAGACACATTTATGTATACTCAAAACATTTTGGGTGTATCACTTTAAACGATTCTCAGCTTCTTGGGAAAAACAAAGGCTACTTCCCTAAACACCATGACAAACACGCTTACACAAATTGTAATATTGACTTAAGTTCTGAAGGGATACAAAAGGCTTTCAAGGTGAAATTGTTCAGGGAGTAGCTTCAATGTTTCTTTTGACTTCAAAATTCACAACGTAATAAGGCTGAAGCATGTCCAGACTTTCCTTTTGTTTCTGTAGCTCTTTGCCTTCAAACTATATTGTCCTGAAGATTCACATCTGTTTAGCTTCTGGCAGGAACCTTGATCAAAGCCTGCTATGTAGTCATCAGGTGTTGGTTATCCTCAGCACACGAAGATTTGCTCGGGAGAAAATGTATTTTCCACAACATTTGTTGTTCTGCAGGGTGTTGTTACAGTCAAGGAAATGTAATTCAGTTCTCCACATTACTTTAATTTTCTCCCTGTCCAGCGCTTTGCTTATAAAAGAAACACTACACTACCCAAATAGTTATGCAAATGCTCATGCATTGTCAGCATAGAAATAGCAAAAGGCATCCTAATTTAACTCTCATTTCCATGATTTCTGGAAGACTATTCAGCATGCTTGAATGCAGGTTAGTTCATTAGTTCCAGGATTAGTTTCCCCCTCTCCCCAGTTTAGCCGAGTGAGATTATTTCTTCTATAAGCTGCTTCACAGACCAAAGGTCCTCCGCACACAGCTGAGTCAGTGATAGCTAATCTTTGATCCGTCTCAATCGTCTTCTGTTCACAGAGCGGTGCAAGTGCTCTTTGTCTTTATGTGTCTCTTTATTTGCACTACATACTGCTCTTCTTTGAACTCTTTGTACCATGTGAAGGTACACGCCACGTCACATAGATAAGCTGTTGCAATGACGGCACTCCTGCTGTGCTGTTTGCATGCTATGCATATGTTTATTTGTACACTTGCTTTCTAGTGTTTATATGTTAGAACTGTTGGGTTATTCGGCCATATGGTCCTCGAGGCCTCAGCAGGAATAAATGTGACGCCAGGTGTCAGTGCTGTCCACTGTATAGCCCATTTCTCTGGCCTCAATAAACAGGCCTCTGAGGTGAGATGGGATACTGATGTGCAGTTTGTTGTCCTGCCAACCAGTCAGCCTGCCAGTGTGTTTAGCTGCTAGTGGCCTGACCTGTCCTGGCCGTGCGGGGGCCTGACTGTTGGCTGACTGTTGGCTGACTGCCCGCCACACAGGGGTTGCGTTCTCTCAGTGCTCGGCGCTGACCTTCACTCTGATTTATGAGTTCCTTCTCGCAGTCTGTTTCCCCTCCTATCCCCCCTCTTTCCTCACATCCATGCAGTAGATTAGTGCTCTCCAGCTGTATCTCTGACTCCCCCGAACACGAGCAGGGCCACCCTGTGTCCCCCACCGACATCGCGCTCTATAAACAAGCACGTGATACGCAACAGATGTGAGTTCATCTCCTTGTTAACCTTTGCTGTTGCCTGAAGGCTGGATGAGAAACATACACACTATGGAAAACAAACAAAAACAGGATCTATGATATAATGTATCTAGGATATAACGTATTAGATAGTGTTTTTATCTGCTATAAGCTACTTTAATTTGTTTAAAGGTAGGGTAGGTAAGTTTGAGAAACCGGCTCGGGATACACTTTTTGTTATATTCCATGGAATGCTCTTAACATCCCGATAGCAATGAATATCTTAAGTGCTTTGACAAAAAATCCATAAAAAAATGTCATCTGTGGAAGCCGTAGTACTGTAAAAAGCACGACCAATCATCTGAGCCGACCCGGCTAAAATAACTGGATGGCCTACCTGCCTGTCAGCCTTCCATCTGTGCACAAACTTATCTCGTGCCCTCATTGGTCATGTGCGCGTTCGTGTGTGTTGGAGGAGGGGCTCTGTAAGGAAGTGGCAGATTTTCTCCGGTTGTGTATTTTCAAATTCTAGCGATCTCGAGCTGGTTTCTCAAACTTACCTACCCCACCTTTAAGTGAAGACATTTTGATTTATTTGTTTGTCCAAAAATATTGTTTTCTAACCAGTAACCCAATAGTGTGTGAGGTTCCACAAAAGCCTTGCCCAAACGCATACAAGAAAAGGGATAGACAGAGTGACTGGCTTGTACTCTGTGTGGCAGATCATTGAATACAAACTCCTTTTACCTCGACAGAAACAAAATGAGTTACTAAATCCTTCTTGCCACTGTGCCAACAATCACTATATCTGGTAGTTTGGAAACAAACCCTTAATTCAGGAAGTTGGAAGTGCAAATCTCCCAAAACAACTGGCAAAGACCCAACTAGTATATTTATGTAGACGCCCAACCTCACTCCACAGTACCACAGCATGCAGTTGTTGTGTATGTAGACACTCTCTCAGTGGATACAGTGGTCATGTAATAATCCACTCAGGATGTTTCTACTTAATTATGACCACTAGTGTAGAATAAGTACTGGAAATGTGCTGATCGATTGAGTCTTCATGTTGCTGTTATTGTTGTAAAAGCTCTACAATGACTTGAGTAATTCATTGAATCTTTCATCTGTGATTTTCAGCAGCTCAGAGTTGGCCAAACAACCTGTGTCATGCTGCTCTATTATCCAGAGTTTACACACTAGCTTCCAGGTCTGACCAGGCATCCGGTCCGTGACACACCCAGTGGAGTTGTGTAAGCAGATATGGCAGTTATGACTTTGTTCAGATTCACAGCATTGTATCCTTCCTTTTTTTACAGGGGTGCAGCGTGAGGGGGAAGAGCTGATGAGGTGAAGAAAGCCAAAGGAGGCCACTGTGGTTTGCCTGCTCTCTCTCGGCCCTGATTCTGAGTGACCGCTGCTCACTTCCTCCCGCGTTTCACTTCGAGAGGAGGCTTGGCTCCCTCTGGGTGCAAGAAACACCATGTGCCAAAACTGGAGAGGATTTACCACTGCCCCATAGTCCGCCAAGCCTCTCGTGAACCCTCCCTTCTAGTCTTGAGGACCCTCCTGATCCCCCACATTGCCCACTGGCCAAGATGAAGAAGGTGGCAGCATGGTCTGCAGAAGATGTCTATGACTGGCTGAGCAAAGAGGGGATGCTGGAGTACATCGACGCCCTCCGTCAGACGGACGGTCCCGGTGTGCTCAGGCTCAACGAGGCAGATTTCCACAGGCCCCCCCTGTCGCTCGTGTCGTCTGACGGCGGGCAGCAGCTGTTGGAGCGACTGGAGACGCTGCGGATAGAGACTCACATAGAGGATCACAAAAACGGCCACGCAAACGGCCACGCTGGGGGGCTACCTAACGGGACTAGCAAGCCTCAGAGGAACGGCATGAAGGACTACAGGATGGAGATGGTCCACATCCCCATCCCTACGAAGGAAACCACGCGGCCCTCCTTCCCGACCGAGTGGGGGAAGACGGGCATAGCGTTCGCCTACGCAGTGGTGTGCTTTGTTACCACCACCATCGTAATTTCAGTGGTCCACGAGAGAGTACCGCCAAAGGAGCACACCCCCCCCGCTGCCCGATAAGTTCTTTGACCTGTTCAACAGGGTGGAGTGGGCCTTCTCCATCTGTGAGATTAACGGCATGCTGCTGGTGGGACTCTGGCTGATACAGTGGATTCTACTTAAGCACAGGTACAGTCTAGCCCAGTGGTTCTCAACTGGTCATGCTTCGGGACCCACTTTTTCCTTTGTCAAGAAATCGCGACCTGATATTTTGAACCACTCAAATCTATTCAACAAAAGATCGTGCTGTAATATATATATATACGCTTTTCAGCATATATCAGGGGCGGACTGGCCATCGGGATGTTCGGGACGAATCCCGATGGGCCGGTCGGACGATGTGGGCCGGTCGGATAAGTCACTAACACCCCACCGTCCCCCGTCCCCCCCGTCGACAATTTACTAGCGGTATTTACTTGCGGCACCGAGGTCGGCCGGCGGTACCGAAGTGGGCCGGTCGAGAGTCCCGGGCTGATTTGTAGTCCCAGTCCGCCCCTGGCATATATTATATCCCTTCACAGAACTAAAGTATGCTTTTAAAAAAGGCTTAATGAGATGATGGAATCCAAGCTGAACTAACATAAAAAGGCACACATACTGAAAACCCAACCCCAGAAGGGGGGTCTGGGGGGGGGTTTTCCTCCAGGAGATTTTTTGAAATACTAACATATAAACTACGCATTCTGGTACACTCTGAGAAGAAAATAAATAAATCTATTACTACCCGACATATTAATAATATTTGATGCCATTGTTTGTTTTTCACTTTGTTCTGACAGCTTGCTGCTCCACACAGAGAGAAGAGCAAAGACGAGATAGTCTGTGTGAATTACTTTAAATTGTGGATAAGGGTAGATAGCTCCCATTGTTCTGTGACCTGTCAATCATCAAACCGGGGGTCATATTTCATTATGTGTTCTTTTTTATCTGAAGTTGTACCCATGGATGTATAAAGAATAGTTCTACCGCAAAGTTATTCTCCGTGGGGACTTCTGGCAACAATCTTGAACAAAGATGATCACGACGTGACATGGTGGCACAGTACAAAACTAACTCTCACAAATATTTGCTTGTAAATTAATAAAAAATGTCTATACAGTGTTTTTGAGAATCAATACTGCATCACAGAACATAATACTTAAGTAGTGTTGAGTTAGTAGTTTGACACACACCTAAAAAAACGTTGAATTATTAATATTCTTTGTCTTTTTTCCAGGTCAATTATAGGCAGGCGATTCTTCTTCATTGTTGGCACACTCTATCTGTACCGGTGTATTACAATGTACATCACCACTCTGCCTGTTCCCGGGATGCACTTCAAATGCTCTCCAAAGGTATTATTCACACACTTTCATTTCTCTCGCAATTGTAGCTTTGTTGAGCATGAAAGACTTCTTTCTTATATAACATGCTGAATGGGCAGATTCAGCAAAAAAAGTATTCCTCTTGTTAAAGCTGAAAGCCTCTGAGTGCTCTCCGCTGACCGCTCGTCGTAAGATATGTGCGCGTCTGTTATACTGCGAGGGGCTTCAAGTGGTGGCTTCACTTTCTCAATGTCCTGTTATTATCGAAGGCTCTAGTAGAAAACACATTAATATTCTTTATTTAAAGCAACTGTGTGCAGTGTTTCTGTTGGATAATTGGAATACAAAATATTATGTTTTAATAAATAGAATAGTGCAAAGTGAGAAAAAGATAATACAACTTTGAATTTTGTAGTGCCATTGAGTTTTCTTTATGCTTGTGCTGATAGAAAACAAAACACCAATGATATATAAATATGGGTGCACACTCATCATAAACCCAAAATCCTTTATAAAGTAAAAATGCGGTTATGGGAAATGCTCTCTTTGAGTTTAGTGAAATATCATTGTTATCAAAATGTCAGGATTGTAGAACTGCAAGGGTTAAGGTCATGGGGAAAACTTGTATTGATCCATGGCCTCTAGTGTTAAAGTCAAACATGTTCTACACCACATGTGTCAAACTCAAGGCCCGCGAGCCAAATTGGTGGATATAATTTCGGCCCGCAGGATAATTTTTAATTACTATTAGATCTGGCCCGCCGGTATATTGCACGCACACCTTCACTCAATCCTGAGGGTTTCCTCAGCTCAGAGCCTGACCCCAAACATTGATGAACTTGCACCCAAGATGAGATGCCAAGTATCTGGCTTGAACTAGCATCACAGAGCAGCAAACTGAGTTTCAATGGATGTTTCCTTCTGCACTGTTTTTCTTGAGACAACAGGGCATGTTTGTTTTTTTCTTTGAGGGAAATAGTTTTTTTTAAGCTGTTGTTGGCCTGTGGGAAAATGTAATCATAAGAAATGACTCCAGAAAATCTGCAGATAGAGCCATAAGAAATGAATGCAACTGATTATTTAATGTTTAATGTTGTTTTTATAGGCAATCATTTAAGCTTTGTTAGTTCCAGGTTTCCACTACCTTCAAGTCCTGTTTTAACTGTAAATAGATTGAGACATTTTTACTTTTACATGAGTATTTTCACTTCTGCTATTTAAAAGAGTAGTAATCCTGTAGAGGAAATATTTGAAGAGGGTTTCTTTCTTTCTTTTCCACTAAATATCTGATTAGGTGTTACCGCCCACTCTACATCCTACTTTTAGACATAATTCTTTGTGAGCTTCCAGGAAAACTGTTAGTAATTGTACTGTTATTAGGAACCCTAAGAGGATAATGACTGTCTGTGTGTCTTTCAGCTTCTCGGGAACTGGGAGGCGCAGATGAGGAGAATAATGAAGATGATTGCTGGTGGGGGCCTCTCCATCACAGGGTCCCACACCATGTGTGGAGATTATCTGTACAGTGGCCACACAGTCATGCTAACGCTAACATACCTCTTCATCAAGGAGTGTAAGTTCCACTGTGCCTATACTATCGTTTAAGGAAGAATGGGCGGCTTCTACTTTAATTCTACAAATGAAGCTCCTTTCACTTCCTCAAAGTCTATTTTTATATTTACACATTTTAAGCAAATCATCGCCACAAACCCATCTGCTATAATTCAAGGTTCAAGGCTTTTATTGGTCATACGAACATAGCTACAGTGTAGTTATGAAGATGAACATTTTAGGTCACAGGCTCCTCCAACAGTGCAACACAATAAAACAGATAAACAGAAAAAAAATAGTGCAAGTAAATAGTAAAATAGTGCAATAAGATTCTATATAACAGTTATTGGAATATGATATATTAAATAAATAATTTCTAAGTAGCAGCCAGATTAATGTTATGGATGTTGTTTCAAAGTAATAATATATTGCAATATCAGTTTAGATATCAAAATAAGGATTTACTATTCCTAAATTGTGACCAGGCTGTTAAACCATGTGCTTATGCGTTTGTAACACTTCTCTAAATGATAACGGAAATGAGCAGGAAACCTGCATCATGCGAGTGTCCGTGCATTGGGACATTGCTCTGTTGCATAACCAAATGTTCGGTTCCTCAGCAGGCGTTTATGTTACGTGACTCATCTGCCTTGCAAAGCGCTTCAGAGCATGAGTGTCAGAAGTCAGGATTATTTGAACCGCATTGGTTACATGTACTTTTATGACACTTTCAGTAAATGACTCTCCCTCCTGCTACATCACATGCTACTGCAATGCTTGTCCACCACAGTAGCGCCCTCTTGTGGTGAAATGGAGAACAGCTTGTTTAATATTTCTGTAGAAAAGCCAAAGTGAACAGTTGACTCTCACAGGCTGATGATGAGCTGTTAACAATGATTTGGTCTCCTCTAGAGTTGACACTGCTGGGTTTGATCTGTGTTTCTCCCATATTAACCATTTATTTTATTTATTTTTTACCTTTTTAATTGGCAGATTCCCCCAAGCGGTTCTGGTGGTACCACTGGTTCTGCTGGAGCTTGAGCGCTGTTGGAATTTTCTGCATCCTCCTGGCCCATGACCACTACACTGTGGATGTGGTGGTTGCATATTTTATCACTACACGCCTCTTTTGGTGGTACCACACCATGGCCAACCAGCAGGTGAGTTTTCTTTTTGTCATTTGTAGTTGGATGTGAATTAAGTAAAGTAAATTGGCTTAAAAGGACAGCTTCAACATTTTAAGTTAAAGGCTTATTACCTTGGTTGCTGGCTTTTTAGTGTGAGAAGATCAATACCACTCATAACTGTATCCTAAATATGAATCTGCAGCCAATTATCTTAGCTTGAAGACAACACTGTTGTTTTACACCTCTGCTTTTGTATTGAAATGTTAAAGGTCCCATGACATGGCCATTTCTACTGATCATAATTCCATTGTTGAGGTCTACTAGAATAGATTTACATTGTTCAATGTTCCAAACTCACATTGGTTTCTCATACAGCATCTCTGTATAGTATGTGTATTCACTCTGTCCTAAACGGCTTGATGGAGCTCCTGCCCCCCCCCCCTCCCTGTGAGCCCACTGTGCTCTGATTGGTCAGCTCGCCCACTCTGTTCTGATGAGTCCACCACCGTTACAGCGGAACATCAGTGATTATGTGTTACAATGGCGTTAGCAACCAGAAAATGACACCAGTAAGGACAAACGGATGAGAATGCTGCGTGGGGTCTGGGTGCCGTGTTGGCGGGACGTTGCACGGCTCGCTGCTGGAGCGGACAGTGTGAGCTGGCTTGCTGGTGTTGTTTCCTGGTTGCTGGCTGCGTGGGGTCTGCGGGATGGCGGGACACGGGCCTCGCCGTGTCCCGCTGTCTCAGGCTGAGTCCAGGCTGAGAAATCCGCGGAGCTGCAGCTGAGAAAAATAAGGCTGAGTGTGTGTGAGGAGCTCCGGATTGGTCCATTTGGATCATCGTTACGTCACTTGGTTCCCGGAAGAAAAAATGACGAGGCGTTCTGGGGCAGCATAGACAGGTCTTTTCTGTGTTAGAGTTTTACTCGCTACAGGGTGTACTTTGAGGGTGTGTAACTTTGCAGACCGTTTACATGCATAAAAAGCTTCATAACACACAAGGGGACGGGTAATAACCGGAAAAGCATGACATGGGACCTTTAAGATATGATCCAATATTTAATAAGCTGTAGCTTCCTTCCATACAGACATGAGAGTAGTTTTACTCAATTTCAAAGAAGGCAAAGTATTTCTGAAAATATCCATGTATTACTTAAATATATATAACTTTACAGGAATTTACGCTTAGTGGTGATGACTGTTCTTGAGTTTTTAGTATTTAGTTTAGTTTTTAAGCCAGAATAAACATATTCTTGTCTGGTTTATTATTTTAGCTATGATCAACATTGTATCTTGTAAAATGTCCACTCAAACAAAAAGTACAGTTGACATGATGCAAAAGGACAGAAGTCTTGGAAAAATGTGAAGTAAATGACTCGATACAAGTCTTGGTTCCTCAATGTGTGCCCGGTATTTAAGGTTCACACTTAATTTACATGTCATTTATTTGTTGTTGTGTTTGTTTCAGTCGCTGAAGGAGACATCGCAGAGTAACCCGTTCTCGCGGGTCTGGTGGTACAGACTGTTCCAGTTCTTCGAGGAGAACGTCAGCGGGATGGTTCCTCGTAACTATCAGCTGCCGCTGTCGTGGCGGTCGCTGCAGTGGAGCCGCGGCGTGAAGTACAGCAAACTGGAGGTCCAGTGACCCAAATCATTTGAAAGCCGGCGAGGACTATGACTTCCAAAAGTGCTGTTTCTCCCAGAGGAGGGCACGGTTCAATGTAGCGCTGTCCTTTCACCTCTAGGAAACAGACCCTGTCCAAATGGGTAGCACTGTGACCCACTTAGTATATTTTTTTCTGTTTGTGTATATATATTTTGTTTCTCTTGTCCTCTTTCTCTTCTGGTAGTATCCGTCAACACAGAGCACTAATTTATATTTGTTTTGTGTCTTCCTCCTCGTGGGTCACAGTTTACGAAGCATTTCGTCAAACTACTAAAACTCAAAGATTTTTGGCCTCAAGGACTCAAAAACGTTTTTTTCTCTGCACAAAACCATAGTTAATGTCTTCATGTTCTTACAAGATTTGTTTAGTGCAAATGGTGTCAATCAAATGCTGATTTGATAAGCAAAATGCCATAAGCACGTTTTTGTTGTTTTCCTTTTATAGCGAATTACTTTTTGTAAACGGTCCTTGCTAAAATGAGTCAAAGGTGCAAAAAATAATTTTTTTAAGTATGTCAAACTTTATTTTTCAAAAACAAATGATGTCCAACAAAAGATTTTTAGATTTTTACCTTTTTCAAGATGGATAACTGAGAGCATAAGAATCCGATGTGGTGTAACATTATTCCAGTGCCTTTCTTAGCTTGATTGTAAAACAGTTCAAGTACTATGTGTCTTGTGTCTCTCGGCGAGTACGAGGCGGTACTTAGTTAACAGTCTCGTTCCCATGAATGTAAAATCAACTACGCCAGCCTTACCAGAAAATTGGTTTTCCCAAAATTCAGTGCAGTGAGTGATATGTCCCGTTTATTTATTGATGCTTGACAATGTCTATTCGTGCTTAGTTTGTTAATGCAGAAAAATGACTGTTAATTGTATTTTCTTTTTTTAAATGTCAGTATAATTTAAATTTACCAATCAGTCTTCAACCAGCACCAGCCATGTTGAAAGCCCGATCATTGATGTTCAGTTGTATGCTGGGTTTACTTTCCACCACTAGTTATCTGCTAAGAATCACTGCCTGGTTGGAGAATGAAGACGTGTCTCAGGCGCAGAGTGACGTTTCTCTGCTCCTCGACATGTCTTTCGCATCATAGCAGCGTCTCTTGCTCAGTTAATGAACCCCACGCTTGTTCCCCACATTGAGTCCCATTTTAGATCCTGAATGATCTCCATTACTGTCTGGTCTTGTAACCTCTGTGGTGGTGAGGAGATCTAGAGGATAATTGTGACCTGAGTTTTGGGAATGTCAAAAAACAGAAGCTTCAGGTAAAGTTTCTGAGCATGTCTGTAATCTCTACGGTTTATCTCCGACTAAATCAAGCTGCTATCTTCCAGTTTTAAGACGGTGTATGTTCTACACTGCTTCCTTTTAGTGCTACGCCAAATCTAGAAGTAGCTAACACTCAACGTGGAACCTGTGTGTGGGGAAGAAGCTGAAGCATGACGCACAGAGCTGGTTTGACCCGGGCCGTTTCTCATTGTCGAGTAAAGCTGCTGCAGAGCCACTATTTCAAGTATACTACGTCATCGAGTGGCGCCGAATGCTGGGCATTTAAACAGTCCTTCGGCGCCACTCGATGACGTAGTATACTTGAAATAGTGGCTCTGCAGCAGCTTTACTCGACATTGAGAAACGGCCCCTGTGTGTGTGTGTGTGTGTGTGTGTGTGTGTGCAGGAAAACACTGATTTCCATGAATGTGAAAATGCGTCCTTATTGATAATCCTAACTATGTTGAATTTTGTTTTGCTTTGTGTAACTATGACTGAACTGTATAGAATAAGTATTGCACATGTTTATCTATAGAGTGAAAGATTGTGGAATTTCAAATTAAACTGATAAGCTTTGAGGAAGAAAAACTGCACTAAGCTTTAGATTATACAAATCCCAAATAAATAATAATTATGTGTCTTTCTTTGAGTTTTCAAAAGAAGAGCGCGAGTATAAGATTATTTCAAAGAGTCTAATTCATTTAAATGCCAGCAAGAGTCTTAATGTTTAAGACAAATGACAGTCCAGGCGTACCCTCCTTCCTTTACAATCATTTCACTTTAACAGAGAACGGTTTCTCTTTAAGAGCACAGCAGGTTCCTCACATTCGGCTTCGTTTTGCTTTCAGATAGTGTCTGAAATATCAGCCCTAACACGGCTCTCTGATAATGTTTCGAGAGCTTTGATAAGGATGAAGGTTGACGTTTTTTTGTATTTTAGTTTGCCAATCAAGTAGGTTTTTTTTAAACGTTCGTCATCCTATATGTTCCTCTGTAAACTTCTCACCCATGTTGTCCTTTTTTTGTGCGTATACCAGATGTTTGTAAGATATGATAAAGGATTGTACTTGGGACGCTTTTGAATAAAACCTTTTACTAAAATGTATTTGATTTGCTGTCTGCCTCTTTCTTTCTATATGTATCACAATCTCTGCTGAGATGACGTCATGGCAGACCCACTAACAGCCAGCAGAGGGACACATTGAGTTAAATTAAATAAGACCCTACAGTGAGGGGGGGCGCTCTCCTCCCAAATGTCATTTTGCTTCCTGTTTGTATTTGTGTACTCCACCTACTGCAAGTATGTCTGACAGTCACTTCCTCCATTCATTGGTAACCTTTCCATCATGTCTCGCTAATGCTTCCAACTTGAGTCTTCTTGTAACCTCTCATCCAGCCAGATGTTTTATAGTCTGCTAAGCATAAGGTTTTTGAATAAACACACTGACATTTACACTTTCCAGTCCCATGTATCCATTGTTAGACTTTTTTTGCAATAACTTGAAAGGGCCTAAAATGGGGTCTAAAAGTTAAGGTTCTTAGAAAATATAATTTAAATGAACTGAACTGTGTGGCAACCAACTGATTCCCAAGCAGTAGGAAGAGTACAGACAAAACACAAATACAATATCTCTCAATAAAAACAACCTTAAGTTTTTAGCTTTGTCAGAAAAATGTATGTTCATAAGGCATCCCAACACTCACAGTTAAAAAAAAAAAAAAGGTTTTCCTTGACTTTAAGACAGCCAAAATGTGAAGTTAGCTACTGACTTTCATCCAGGAAATGAAGTAGTAAACATACTCTTTAAAATGTAAACATGTCCAAAAAGTTTATCTTGCTAATTATTAAATGACTAATCTGTGCCGGTTATTGAGGAATCTCAGCCTCTAGAGAAAACAAAAGGTAATAAGAGCATGACCTCTTTTCAAATTGTTGAAAGGGGGTTGGAAGAGTTTTCTGTAATTGCTTGCTAAAATAGCAACAGGTTCTCATAATTCCCTGCATGAAAAAAGGGGGCATATATTTATCTGCAGCCGGCTCGTTGGCCCGTGGGAGAATTAGCTGGCACCCCGGAGAGATTGAGCTGTCCAGCCAAGCTGAACTCCCACGCATTACTACTATACACAAATGAGGGAGTGGGACTGTGCTCTAAACTTCTCGTAGATTCTGCTGACATTAAATAGGCCACAGTGATGCTCTCAAGATAGCTTAATGTGGCTAAAAATATTTCAAATACGCAGGTGTTTAGTCTGTACTGTGACAGAAAGCAGGCTGTGTTCTGCCACCTTGCATTTCATATGAGAGTGGTGGAATCATATTATTATTCCTAAATAATGGGATACCATGCTGCTCTGGCGTTCTCCACACTGCAGCCGCCAGTTTTCCAATCTGGACATTTTCTACGCTTCAATGTCCATCAATGATGTTCCGTAAGAAGTACATTTTTACAGCGTGTGCCTTGATTGGAGAAAGTGTTATAGTTGCACAACAGCATCACAAAACACTGTCTGCTGCTATAGAGTAACATACACTCCCTCAAGGCCGAATCGCCAAGAAAAACACCGGTCTGATTCATGGCTTCACAAGCAAACTCTATTCTATTCTCAGCAGTGCTGCGGTCTTTCACCGTAATACCATACTTAGTCTGTGAAGATAATGCTGTTGGAGTGCAAATGGAGTTTTGTCTATTAATGGATGGCTTGGAAAGTGGGTGGTATGAGAAAGAAGGATTCGGCTAATAAAACTGTCATGATGTAAACAATCATGTTCCCCTCCTGAGCTTGTACTGAGGATACTTAATGGATACGAAGATATACACACACACACACACACACACACACACACACACACACACACAGATTGTTTTGTGTCTTTCAAAGGTTAAAAAGTGATCAGTTTAATAACCCCCCCCCACACTTCTCTCTACGTTTTCAATCATTTCTCTAGTGCTGTGGAGTGTTTTTGTAGAGCTGTGATTTGTATCTATAATGGATTGCATGACAAAGTCAGAACGTACTTAAAGGAACAGTTCACTTAAAAAACGTAACTTTTTGTTACCTGTATTGCTATTTATGTGTTGGAAATATTGGCTATAGAGATGTCTGCCTCTTCTGATGGTTTGTAGTGCTCAAAGGTCCTATTTTCTTTCTGATAAACTACAAATGCCAACCGTAACAAAAGAAGCGTGATGCTGATTTTTCGTCCGTGAGTAGATGCATGGTTCCTTTTCATTAAAAAATAAAACAGTTCTTGAATGAAACTGCTCACAACCAGCTTACTCAAATACTTGAGTTTGAATAACTCACACTATCACAATCTAGATTAATAAATAACACTACAGGTAAAAGGAAATATTTGAACATTGTCTGAATCACCTTTTCTTTTATGGAGTCACGTCTACTTGATGATTGTAGGTCCAATATTAACTCTCTTTTAAGCTATTTTTCGGTCTCTACTAAAAGCGAAATATCTGGTTAGCGGTGTCTGCCAAAATATGACGGTAAAGGAGTGAACAAAAACAGTAAAGTTGTGGTTGAGTTAAATAAGGAGCTTGGAGTTCCGTAAAGCCAAGAGGAGATGCAAATTCACGTGATAACTCCTTGTAGGTTCTTCACAACTAGTAACCCATTTTACATTGTCATATAATTCATTCATAGATAAAAAATATTGATTTTAGCTTCTTTAGCTCTAAAACACCTTAATATTCTTTGTGTAGTTTTGGTCTACTTTGTTGCAAGCACGGTTGTGAAAGACTGCAAAAAGGTCCAACATATCAGCTTCCAAAAACATCCAGGTACATTTTAAACAACTTTTATTGCCAAACAACTTTTGAAAGTCAGCCAAGTCAGCAGTAAAACAACACTATCTTCGGAAAATAATACACTTTCCTGTCAAGAGACTCGATATTATCAGAGCACTCCAGACCCAGAACAAATGTGGCTGCTGCGGAGGAAGACGCTGACAGTTGTGATGATGAAAGTTATTTTCATCGCACACACCATTATCAGTGTGGGTGAGAGGCAATGCCCCTTCACACATCTCAAGGGCCATAAATGACCAGAACCGGGAAGTGCTAGCCCCCCCCCCCCCCCCCCCCCCCCCCTTTCCTGCTAACCACTGAAGTTTATCCTCGCCTCAGAGCTTGCTCATCTCGCCACGCTCTGTAACTTTGGCCAACACTCCCTCGAGCCTCTCCCCACTTGAAATTGCATTGCAGTTTCAGTCTGTCTACCATTGGAGAGGTGCCTCAGTAACTGGCAGTCACACTGTAACAGCCAATATGGCACGGTGGGAATTTTCATCGGTGGGGGTCACCCCAAGACACCACCCCCGTATCCATGAGTTGGGTTTGTGATTGCTTCCTACATTCTATCATTTTTAAGTATGGAAGTGAGTCCCCTGTCGGAGCTGGAGTGGTTTCAGAGAGCGACATACTGTGTGATGTAACAAGTCAAAAGTCAACTCACGCCGACTGAGGGGACTCTCGTGACTAATGGAAACAGTTTCTGCGACCATCTGTCCACAGTCCTTGCCACCAGTGCTGTCACATCAGAACAAATACCAATCTACCTTCCAGGCCAATTTTGTATGCATCATGCTCTCAGGCTGCTGAGGAGTTTATTTTTGTTGATGGACTTTGGAAACAGGCCGACACGTTCGGGTGAGCAGACAACTAACAGATCACTGTCATATCCTGAAGTCAAAGCGTCACTTAGACAGAGACTGCTGCTGAATCTTTTGCTCGAAGAAATGTGGATTAAGATACTCCTCCTGTTTCAATCACTATATTAAAACATGCCGACATTTACAAAAGAGTAACCTGAAAGGCACAATGAGCAGGATTTGTCTGTTCTGGTCACCCAGCAAAAGTATTCAATATTCTCTCTCTTCTAGCTCTATTTATTGTCTTTATAAACCGCAGAGCAAAATATTTAAAGTGCTTAAGGCTCTATCACATTACCCAGTTAGTCATTAACTTAGTATTTTGGTAATTATTACCTTGTTAAAAAAGCATGTTGTTCACTATGAGTGATCCCTCTCCCACTAAAGCATCCAAGTTATAATGGGAATCTAAGATTGGTCATTAGACAAATTCACAACTTCCTGTACAAGCCCACAATGAAAAATGAATCAGAAAATTATCCTTTTTCCATCAGAGTCAGAATCCAGACATGAACGAGGCCTAAAAGCCCCGTCAGTAGGGAATCAATCAATACAGAAGGATTCTGAAATATGGCAGCCAACTGCAATGCAACTGAAAGCGAGCCTCTCTCCTCCTCTGATTATTCTCAGTGGGTTAGTGAGCAGCGCTGATGATGACTCTGGTGTTTTGTATCATGCCCCACTGTCTAAAAAATATCCACATGTAATAGTAAGTCAAACAGAAAAAGCCTTAAAAAGCTAAGAGCCCCCTGGGATCCAGGAAGTGACTTTTTACCTTGGGATGACATTTGGAAAGAAGCTTGGGTCATAATAAATTCAGACTGTATAGAAGACTTTGGTAACCCTCTATACAACCGTCAAGTTAGTTCAGTAGGAACATATCAAAAATGATGACCATATATAGAGAGTGATGAGGCTGTTAAATCTGTACAGCACAAGCATCCTTGAGCAAAATACTGGAGGTGCTCTTCTGTAATTCAGTAGAGTGCCAGAGCACATAGATAAAGAGATCTTAAAACATCAAACAATCCTCAGGACCACTTTTACTTTGAACGTCTAACTCTTAACTCTGAGTCTGTAATATTTCCTTTTCAAAGAAGTCTGTGTTCTGTAGCTGCTTGATTCAGGGATTTGATAAACTACCTACAGGGAAGAGCCAGTCGCTGTCTCATCTTTATTGTATTTTGTAAAAGCTGATTTATGTACCTGATCCTCTCAAGTCCACTTCCTGAAGTAATCATGCTTTTTCTTTGGCCCGTGGGAACATTGCCTTTGGCTCTGCTTTAAAAAATAAAAATGGTTTGTGTGACAAATAGCAGAGATCAGATAGAGAGAAATAAATATAATGTATATAGTCAAGTGGCAATGTCGGTGGAAGGATCACTGCAGCGGAAACCTAAATGGAGGATGAGCGTGTGCACTGAGCGATGCTGTTTGTCTTG